TTGTATGTCTAAAAAACATAGTTCAGCAACTGGTTTTAATAATGATGGGATCCTCAATGTTAAAAGTGAGAAATGACAGTTTTTACATAGTGTAACTTCCCTTTTCTCATATAACTTTGATTTTGCTGTATATTTTCTGATCCATTTTGATGAATACAATTCTGGCTTTCTTGTAGCTTTGAATTTTGAACCTTATGGACTGTCACTTTCTTCAAGCATGTCGTCTTCTGGCTTCACTGGCAGGCAGTCTCCCACTGGTCTCTCTCTTGGTTCTGACATGTCTGGTAATAGCACTGAAATGGGACAAAAAGAGTGAGTTACTTTATCTTAGCAAATCAAATGAAGAAAAATGTGGTTAAGTCCTATGTTCTTGTCACTGTTACAACTTTTTACTACATAATAATAGGGGAATAATCTTAAATACTTGAGCATGAAAACAGTTGACTGTTACCCTCAGTTGGCTGTGTGTGCAAGAGTTGGAGCTCTCTCAATAACTGGCTCCATATTTATTTAATTACAAAGGAGACTGGAATCCTAGCATTTCTCTGGGTATATCTTTCTCTTGGTGATGCTACTTAAATGACTTATTCTTTAAAAAGCAAAGAAACAAAAAAAACCCACAAATACCAAAAAATATTTGAACACCCAGAACTTCATGCAGAATGGGGGAAAGGAGTAAAGTTGCTATGTTCACTAACTAATGATGTGCCAGTTAAACCCAGATAGAGGGAGGGCAAATAGGACATATTACCTACTAGAATCTCCTGTTCTGGTTTCATAACATTGGCTCAGAGTGCATTTGCTGAGCGCTGTGCTTCCCCCAGGTAGCTATTCACAAATAATTTCTATGCAGGAAATGAGAAATAGTCTAGGTGTTTTCGTGTTGCTGTTACGCATGTTATAAAGCAAAGTGTAGCCCACGTGTTCATAGTTCTTACTCTTAAGAATGGTAGTGCTTTTCTCAATACCACTTTCACAGGTTTGTTCTTGCTTTCATTATGTATGTTTTTAGGACGAGTAGTCTGAAACTTGATGGTGTGAAGAAATTATGGGGAAAAGATGGCTACCTCCCCAAAAAAGATAGCAAAACAGGAAAAGAAGATAAACTGGAGGCTGTACCTCCAGGCTGCACATTAGGGGGAAACATGGTTGATCATCCTTCGTCAGAAGCTGATCAAGAAGTTGTCAGCCCCTCAGAGGAGGAAAAAGAGAAGCAGCAGCTAGCATCAACATTGTTTGTTGGGCTAGCGTCAAACAATGCTGTCAGTCTGGTATGTGATTTTTCCATAAGCTATGAGTTATAATATTTATAAAATAGCTGTCATTAAGGTTAAGGATATTTATTTGTAATGATATTCGAATCAATATGTTGTTAACATTTAAGGTGCGACTTGCATTGGAGGAGAAGACATTCAAATTGTCTGGTAAGATCTGGTTATTTAGGCTACTGCAAAGGAAAGAAGAAATCCCTAAAACAGATAGTTTAACCAACCTCTAAGGGTCCTACGAATACTGCCACTGCCCTGTGCTTTGCCCTCAGTTCTGTTCTGCCAGGCTTTACCAGATGTTAGTTGTCTTTGCCCTATCTACTAGAAATTGCGAACTTCACATTCCTGGCAGTAAGGGTTAAGACTGACATGTCCTTTTGCAGGTAAGTGGTAAAATGGCTGACTTATTTTTTAATACTGACCCTAAGTCAGCACTTCTTGTTTAATCCTTGTATTTTATCCCTGCTGTTTTGTAAAACCTTTGGCTATGCATTTGTTGCACAATGGCCATGAAGATCTTCTAATTTGGGTTTTATTGATATCAGACTGAATTCTGCCTTATGAACCATCTCTGATATCTTATAAGTAACTTAAAGGTAGCTTATGTACTCTCCAATAAAAACATTTTATATACATTTTTGTATTTAAAGATTACCTCTCTTGGGGTATTTGATTTGTATTCTTGAGTCTCAAGATCATAGTCTGTTCTGTTGACTAAGCTACCTGGCCAATCACCAAGAGGAAAATAAACCAAAACATCTTTTGTTTCTTTTGCAGATGGGTAAAGCAGACACCACCACTCAAAAATTCAAAAGAAAATCAAAAATAAGTGAAACCCAAAATAGTGAAGAAGCCCCAACTATCCAACATGATGCTACCTTATCTTCTAGTCCTTTGCCTGAAGCACAATCAAACAACAATGAAAACATTCAGAGTACTGAACATGTAAGATTAAGGAAAAGCTCACTGAGTTCTTCAGAAGTTTTGGAAGCTAGCATCTCATTTAAGAGACCTCAGTCCCTAACAGAAGCTGGACTGGATGCAAAACTTCCAGATTGTAGACTGTCACCATCATGTTTGTTTGCTGATAATAATATTGAAGTTTTTCAGCCTACCCAAGTCATTTCATCTGTAGCTGCCAGTAAAGCCTCCTTGATTCCTTCCTTATCAGAAGAATTAGCCAGCAACCCTCATTCAGAAGCAGTAGAGCTTTGTAGCAGTGACACCCTTGCTGTGAACTTGTGTAAAGTTTGGACAGATGACTGTTTACTGCTTGTCTTGTTTGTTGCCAACAGAAGCTCCTCAGCACTTAAGAATGTGAATCTAGTATTTGAAAATTCAGAACATTTTAAGGTAAGAAAATTGTAACTAGTGTAGTAGAAGAGATGCATGGTTTTACTCTGCTTTTCACTTATACTGACATATACTGAGTTCTTTCTGTCAGATAATTTGGACAAAACAAGTTTTACTTCAAGGAATAACTGCAAAGCAGGTATAGTCAGCATGTATCAGAGGTATTTTTTTTCTGCAGTGTCAACCACGTATGGGGTTATTTATTGGCTGGTATAAGATGGGACTGAAAATCTTAATTAAACCTTCCCATGTGTTGCATATTTTTAAAGGGTATCTTTTGGTTGTGGGTACACATCAGTGATTGGCCTTTCTATCAGTATTTCAAACATTTGATTACTTCACTTATGCGTGAAATGTGGATAGATGACCTAAGAACAGTGCATGGCCGTATCAAGTCCTGGATACTCTGTGCTGACTTATTTACATAAATTATCTCCTCTTCAAAATCAGGGCTGATGTTAGAAGAAGCTTCATCATGGAACTGTTAATTGTTCTGGAATCTTCCTCCTGCTTGTTTTTGGTTTATATCAAGCCCAACACTTGGCCAGTAACATAACACATCTGATTGGTCCGGACTTGTTCTGAAGTTATGATGAGTCAATATTTCACTGATTGGCACTGATAGGCTGGGGGTGGCAGCCTGTGACTGGACTGGATCTGGCCTGTGGAGCCATTTGATCTGGCTTGCAGACATGGGGCTTCAGAAGCATTTGTCATCGGGGCATATTGGCAGTCACTTTCCCCTGCCACCATAGGAACCAAGTGCCAGTGGCGGCTAGGTCCTAGCACCTGCCTACCCACCCACTTGTGACTGGAACTGGGTTGGTCTGGTCCTTAGCCGTAGAAAGGTGCAGACCACTAGTATAGGCAGTTCCATCAGAGAAACTGAGGGCTGAATAATCATGGAAACAACAGTATCCTTATTACTCGTGGAGGTTTCCGTTCCCTGATTTAGCATGCATCAGGGCAGTGGGGGAATCTTGCACTGTTACAATCTGCAGTGAGTATGCTGAAGTTAACTCAAAGACTACAGTGTCTCAGGCAGTCAGGTCAATACCTTCTCAAAAATTAAATTAACTTAAAAATGCTGTTGGTTAAAGGAGCCAGTTGCATTTCTATTTTAACTCTGACAAGGCTTTACTAAAGCTTAATAAGAAAGCTTAAAACTGAGAGTTGGGTGCTCTGTCACTAGCCAAATCCAAGAAGAGTAAACATTTGTTTATAATTTCCAGCGAAATCTTAACCAATAGTATGAAAAATATTTGGTGCACCGATGTGCAACAGTACCAGGCAATGAAGGAAATCATTGAGAGAGCCTATCTTGTAAAGTGCTTTGTTTATATGGTCACCTGTGCCTTTACTCTCTGTTAAGGGAACTAGATGTTTTATAATAAAATGCTAGTAGAGAAAACAAGTATTTTGTGGGGTTGTCTTATGGTTACATGGAAATATTGTTTTGTTAGCAAAATGTATTTCTGCAGAATTTAAAGGAATTTTGGGAGCGTATTTGGGTGGAATTGTCTTTTGTGCTCCTAAGCTAATGCCTGATGTAGGGATCCTCAGTGCCATGAAAGTTGATGTGGTCATCTAGGTGCAAGATAAGAATCAGTTCTGGTGTTTCAGGTATTGTTTTCCCTTTCTAGCAGATGAATATTTAGTAAGATGAATATTTTCCATAACTCTAAATTTTGCTTTTATTTGTAGATTGTTGAAGGCCTTAGCTACCATTTTCCTGTAATAAAAGCTCAAAGTCTGGAAAGCTGCCAGAAGTCTGTGCAATTGGAAAAAAATTGTATGCAGGAGATTCTCGTGGGCTCTCTTAATTACCATTTAGAGATGGAGACTGGCCTTGAATTTTCAGTGACTTTGTCACTGACAGATTTTATCAGGTAAATAAGATGTATTTTTGGAATGTCGTTGTGTTTTCAAGTAACGGTTGGCTCAGTGATGGACTCTGAAATACTGGCTTCTACCTTCAGATGGTTGATTTTTTTTCATTTAATTCAGATAGCTAATGAACACTAACTTGTCACTGGTCAGCATCCTAATGTGTGGATCCCAGTGATCAAGAATGCCACTGTCTCCTGACAGCTTGGCCCCACCACCATAAGTGGTTCTTTTATTGGGAGTCTCAGTGGAAAGTACAAGGATTGACTAGAGACTAAGCTGTCAGTCATCTCTAGCAGTTATCTGTTGAAATTAAGATGTTGGCCTTTACCACAGGGACAGTGTAAAAAAGTTTGTACAACAGTGTATTCTTTCTGGGACTTCAGGACTTCAGTCTTCAGAACAATTAGATAGCTTCAGTGAGCACTAAAACTTTTTAGTGTGTTAAAAATTATACACACAAATGTTTCCCTAGGTTTCTGTATTATTATCCCTTTTGCTTTTTAAATGTGTACTTGACACAGTGAGAAGGTTTTAGTCCTATCGTTAGCAAAGTGAGTAGAATTTTAAATTCCTGCTATTCTTTTACAAGGGTGGCAAAGATTAGTTATTTAGGCATAAATCATACTTTTCCTATTACCCTTTTTTCATCATCTCCTTGAACTCCAGCTTTTTATACTAAACAGAGAAAAACATACTTGTCTTAAAAGTCTTACTGTAAAAGATTGACCCTGTGTTATTCTATACTGACACTTGCATTTAGTCTTTCTTCCATGCATCATGGAAAGTATGGAATTCTAGGGCTAAATAAGGCTAGAGATGTAGCCTCAAGCATTTTGGATAGTAAAGGAATGTTAGTATTTTTGAAAGCAGAAGATGATTTGCATATTTTAAGGATGTGCCCTAATGTTTGTCTTTTTAAAAGAGTTTAACTGCTGGATTATTCCAAATACTGAGTTGCAAGTAAATTGTGAAGTAGAGTTAAGTACAAATCCCGTAAGATCACTGAATGCTTTTCCATTTTGGAATGTTCTCTTGACAAATGCAGCATGCATTTTCAGTGTAGTTAATGGAACTGTAGAGACAAAGGGTGATAAAGGCATGCTGCTTCAGTATAAGATAAATTATACATGCTTAAAATTGAATGAGCTTATTTTAAATACAGCAGTCCAAATGGTGTGAAAGAGGTAACAACTTTTACAGTAAAAGAGCTCATCCTACATACTTGTCAACTGACAAAGCTTTTAAGTTAGCAGTAGCAGAAATTCCCCCCTCCTTTTTTTTTCTTTAAAGCAATCAATTTAGGTTCTACTTTTGTAATGGCAAATACTGGGTTTTTCATTGTAAAATGACTTTCTAGAGGCTTATAACCTGACAGTTTCAGCTTTTTGAGATGGTCAGCATTAATTTTTTTTTATTTATTTATAGAGCTGTAAAAAAGCAATTCATGTTCTTTATATTGTGGCTGGGAGGTTTGTATTAAGACAGAGCTGTATTCTGATCTTGTTTGCTTTATTGTTTTAATGCTCTTTGGATATAGTAGCTTCTGGGCAATCAAAAGCATGCACAATAATATAGAAGTTTGTTTGTTATTTTACTCAGTTTTGTATTAAAATTGGTTTCAGGCCAATGAAAATTACCACTGAGGACTTTGGGAAATTATGGCTGTCCTTTTCTAATGATGTGAAACAAAATGTAAAAATGTCACCTTCTCAGGGATCACTGTCAATAGCTCTGAATACCCTGCAGCAGAAACTAAAGCTCCATGTTGTTGATATTGTAGGTGAGTGTCCATAGTTTTGTATGACATGTAAGATGTGCCAGGCAAATAGTGTCTGCTCCCAAAATGTTTATAATCTCAATTCTGGAACACGTGTGAGTGCAGGTAACTTTGTACAAATTCATTTAATGCAGTGATATAAATGGATGTGTCCAGATGAATGCACATATGCAGTATGTGGCACTACATGTGTTCATTGTGCTGCTAATTTGCAGGGTGGGGGGTAGTGCTTGACACCGGGAGATCCTGGTGTAAAAAAAAAAAGCGGGGGGGCAGGGCAGTGCATGTAGCACCACCATGTGCTGCCTGAAACTGGAGCCTGGCCAGCTGGAGCCACTCTGGCTTCCGGCCAGGTTCTCTGCTGCGGGAGGCCCCCAGACTCCCAGGTGAGGCTGCTGGGGCCAGTTTGATTGCTGGCCCCAGCTTCCTCTACCGCACCTGGGGCAATGCGCCAGAGCATGCATGCACAGGCATACCCTGGGGGCAAGTAGCAGCAGCACATATTGTGCCACTGCTGTTTTTCCTCAGGGAAATATGCACCTTCCTGCTCATGGGGACACACCTAATGGGTGTATTCAGCGATGAAGTTGAGGTTGATTTGTACATGTGTGAGTGGGTACAGTATAATGAAGCAAATTATACAGCATCGGATGTTCTCATTGCACCTTTACTGAGTCATCCAACAGATGCATGTTTTGAGAAGTGAAAAGGAATTGGGAGACAAGCTTAAAGGATTTTGTGAAGTGAGGGATGAAATTAAGAGTGAATGAGAGGTGAAAGGTCTAGTTAGGAAGGATGTTTGTGCAGGAAGGAAGCAAAATGTTATATTTGAAAGAGCTATATATTATGAAGCATATTTAACATGAACTGCAGTGATTTATCTCACTTGTAACTCATTTGTTGTTGTCTGTGTTGTCATTTGAAGGTAATGAGGGACTAGTGGCCTGCCAGCTGCTTCCATCTGTGCCCTGCCTGCTGCATTGTCGTACTCATGCAGGGATGTTGGCCTTGTGGCTCAGATCACCTTGTTCTGCTCTTCCAGATAGTTTGCTCTATCAGTGTCAAAAGGTGATAGAGGAATCCTAACTGCCACAGTGCCTGCTTTTGTAATGGAGAAAGCAAACAAAATGAATTTTTTTACATAGAAAGCAAATGTAAAAGGTTTACATGGTTATGCAAATAATTACCAAAGTGAAATTAGGATACAGGCAGTCCTCAACTTACAACATTTCGCACTTAGAACGTTTATAAATTGACACCGTGTCAACTTTATGACATCAGTTTCAGCTTACAACACTTGATCCAATGCAACGCCATGCCAGTGAACAAATTGACTGTGTCGCTCATCTCCCTGGAGAACATCTGTCCAAACCTCCTTGGACACTTTCTTTAAGAAAGCAGACAAGACTCCAGAAAAACCTGCAGCCAAGACTCCTGAGAAGACTCTAGCCAAGAGCCCTTCAAAAAGTCCAGCAAAATCACCTCAAAGAAGTCCTTCCAAATCAATATGATTGCTATTTACACTATAAATACATTAATGTAGCTATATTACTCATCTATAATTGATTGAGGACAAAATTCTGAGGTATTTTTAGTGAAAATAGTGTATTGGGCCTTGGTTCAGGAACCAGTTCCCCATTTATAACATTGTTTCTTCTGAGAAAATTGGTTCCAAGTTGCAACGTTTCGACCTAGGACACAGTTTTCAGGAACCACTTGTGTCGTAAGTCCGAGGACTGCCTGTACTGCTCCTCAAAAGCAGCTTGAAGTTGGTTTGGTTTTTTTTTTTTTGACAGGCATCTGCTATGTGGATTGGTAGGAAGATCTAAAGTATGCCTGCAGAAACGTGCTCAGGATTGTACAATCACTGAAAAGTGTTCTGTAAAGTATTGCTAACTGTTCAGGTAAATGTGTCTTTCTCAGTTTATTGCAAATGTCTGAAAGTATTTATTTTCTACTATGTACATTTTATATGCAGCAACAGTTTGTTTATAATAGCAGCTACTTAGTTCTTAAGTATATGGGAGGAAAAACATATTGCCACTATAAAGTCAGCTTTATACTGTGCAAAAATACCAATGTTTGTCTTTATCATTACCCAATACTTCATTGAAGAGCCTCTTTTAAAGCTGTTTTTAACACTATTTGAAACAAGACCCTTTCTTGCTGTTGCTCATGGTGCATTTTCTTTCTGTACAGGATATACATGTGTGTGTTGACGTATGGTTTTGGTAGTCAAAAGCACTGCTTTTGTTCTTTCAGTCATTTGCCGAGTACGTGTTAAGTAATGACATCCAATTAGTTTGGAGGGGGGAGAGGGAGGGAAATAGGGCAAGGGTAGAGGTAGGTAAAACTGTTGTACAGTTGAGATCATCCAGGTCACCCGTAGGATGTCTGCAGCTCTGTTGCTTGTGTTTACCCCTCTTATCCTCCTTTGCAAGAGGCCTGTAATAGCAGCTGAATTACTGTGCATACCCCAAAGACACTTTGCAAATGGACAGTAGAGAAAACTGTTAAAGCTGAATTTATAATAGTCATGATAATCTTGGATGTATTCTTAGCCCTGTGGTTCTGGATTATGTATTTAATTTTGGTTTATATATTTGTCCCTGAAAGAATTTTAGGGAAGAATTTTGAATATTTTGATTTTTTTTCTTTATAATCTGTTTTATCTGTTTATTGAACTGTGTGAACTGTTGGCTTGCGCAGGCTTTGGACATGACTTGTGTTGCTATATATCTTTCTAAACCTTAATGGATCCAATCAGCCCAGCATGTATGCTGATGATGCGTCTGTCTGGATTGTTTCTCTCATAGTCATTTGTCATGACCAGTGCACAGACTGCATCCTGGCCTTGAGACTCCTAAACCGTTCATTTATTTAGACAGTAATAAAGTACAAGCCCTTTCTTTATTTTAGTTATTTACAGCTACCCACATTTTGCACAAACAGCTCTATGGGCATGGCATGAAAAGCAAATGGAACTGTGCACTTACTCTGTTTTTTTACATTGAGAGCAAAAGCCTTTTACAAGGTATTTCAGTTGTCATCTCTCTCACTTAGCAAATATCAGGAAATAAGTATTCTGTTTTTGCTATTGTTTTGCCTTGTTTTGTTAAGTGTTCACACTTACGAATGTAATTTCAGTACGCTGATGATTAAAACAATGTTTTTTAAACTTCCTTTAGAGGATAAGCCAATTGTCTTGTCTTAATATCCACAGGTATTGTTGCAGAATTAAAACTCCTTTTGACGCTGCTGTTTCCATACCCTATGTGGAGGGCTTTTTAAAAAATGCACTGAATCTATAAATATGTTTAAATATTCTGCACACATGTAGCATGTACTTAATAGCTTGAGATTTATATGAATGAAAACTTTTATAGTTTCCTGGAAACTTAGATCCCTGTTAGCACAGTATATAAATCAGAGTTGGGTGCTATAATTAACTTCAGTCTTTTTTAAGAACTGAAAAAAGTTACAGTAGCATCTGTCTGCTGGCCTATGCATTTTTCACCATTTTAGCAATGGGTTGTTGAGTGTCTTATGAAACAAATAATGCCTTTTGTATGTTTAGTCACGTGATGCTCCTTCCCTCCCTTTCTATTATTTGTGTTCACTATATTGTTAATATATGTTGTATGGTTAATATGTGGAGTTTGAGAGAACAATTGAAGGCCTTTAGCTACTGTAACATGAAGGTGGTGGCTTTCTTTCACCTGTGGTACAGTATTTTTAGACTGTCCGTCAAAACTATTGTGTGTTAAACTTCTACGGTGCTTCTGTTGTCATGTGATTTAATAAAATAGTTTAATAAAATCTCCAATTCAGTTTTACAGCTGTTCTCATTGGACATTTGTTCATGCCAGGTGTAACTTTTAATATTGGCTCTGTTAACAACTCTGGCATTGTATAAAAATTTTAAAATAGCTGTACCCCAGGCTAGGAATTTTATATTTAATAACTGCATGGCTGGATTAACACTGAGAAGAACTTGCATAAAGTACCAAAAAACCCCCCAAACCCGGTTCTTCTTTTTTTACTGGCATTAACCATGTACAGATGACTTTAAATTAGATACATTAGCAAGCATACAAACATAAAAAAAGTACATAACTTCTTAGCAAATTAGTGGAGTCCTAACCCTAATTCGATTACTTTTACTTCGTGTTGCAACAAAATAGTAACCAACTGTCACATTTTACACAGCACCAGGTTTGCTTGTTCTGCCCAAATGTTTAATCAAAGAGTATCAGAACTGTACATGGTACACTGATGGATTTGTTGGGCAGCACTTTGTCCTAGCGCCTGCTGTCTATTGTCCTTCCTGGAATATTGCTAGACTTGTTCTAGCCACCAGAGGAAGTCTTTAGATTTATTAAGTTCCTGCTCTCATCAGTTTTAGAAATGATTGGTACAGTGCAATCTTGGTTTGAGTTGTTCTGCTTTGATCATGCTGTTCGGATGACACTGCTGCTAGTGTTCTGGGCAGGAACTAGGAATTCTGGGAGTGTAATAAATTCTGAATCCCTGTGATTTTGCCAAGTCACGCACACTTTGCTAACACAATTTCCTGTGAAATGATTATAGGCAATTTAGGTAATTTAGTGTGTATTATTTTTACTCTAACTTCATATTGAAAGTTCTTTAATAGGTGTTGCAGTTACGTGAGCTTTCAGCAAACAGGTCATTCTTGTAGAATGAATAATCATTTTGTCTCATATACTATTTTGCTTTTGTAGAACACCAAGAAGCTACCTATGTAAGTTTTAAATATCATGTAATTCCAGTCCAGTACGTTTTTCTTTTGTTGTTCATATTTTATATTGTCACTTGCTCTCTCTTACCTGAAATTTGAAGCAAGCTTTCCCCAGTTGTTTAGTGAACACTATGAAATGGCTTGTGCTACTTTGAGCTGAGTGTACACTAGAATTGTCCACATGGGGAATTAGTAGTAGCTAGTGCACTATAAATTCACACTCTAGCTTACTTTTGCAATAACTCCTCTTTGTAGATAAGCCCTTGAAGTTAGTTATACAAGATCCTGTGAGAGGATCTCTCTTAGCCTGGGACTTTTGCCTGAACTTAACAATTCACTTCTGTATGAAAATTTGATATCCTTACCTCTGTCAAGAGAATACTGAGCCTGGAACCTTGACAGCCTCTTCTGTGCAGTATTACATAAAGTAAGTTACAAGGCCTCACCCAGGCTTTATAGCTAAGGTCTCCAATTTTGCCTGTCACAGTAGATTTCTCTTTCTGTTTTCTTCTGCAAACCTGCATTCACTGAGGAATGTTCACCCATCACTTAATATTCAGAGAGCCCTATCTAAAAACATAGAGAGGAATGACACTTTCAGAATTATTACATGGATTTGGTTGCCTATGAGGAGAGCTTGTAAAATTGAACTTTTTAATCAACAGACTCCCACAGAATAAAAAAGTGTTTTGAGTAGTGTTTCTTATGAGACAAAAGGCCTGTAACTGGCTTAAAGATGCATTACTAAGACCACAGCAGCCTCTGTAGCTTGTCTGTGACAAGTGTGCACTGTAAATTAGTAATGTGATGTCCTAATATTTCATTAAGTATCACTTATTGAACTTTACGTTATACTTCAGTGCTCTGTTTAGAAAAGCAGTGCTATAGGCCATTTGAGCCATTGTGCAGACACAAGAAATTTTATGGGCTTTTTTGTTTGTTTGTTGGGGGGGGGTTGTAGGTTTTTTTGTGTTGTTTTTGTTTTTGAAAGGCAAGGATTTCTGTGGGTGATATCTTTTATTGGACCAGCTGCATGGTTGGGATAAAGTTAGACAAGCTTCCAAGTACAAGGCATTCTTCTGGTCTAACAAGCCTGAAATCTGTTGTTATACAGCAAGGACACTCCATTTTTATTTTTTATGAGCAATGTACATGAATTGATTTCTGCCCATTCACTTTTGCACCATGGCCTGTTAGGACTGAAAGGTGTTAACTTTTTTTCGAGGGTGGGAAATGGAAGGTATGTGTTTAGTCATGTAGGCATCTCTGGATGGGTGAGAGTGAATTACCAAGACATTGAATGGGGGGTTAACTTAGAGATGCAGGCCAATGACCGCACATTAACTTTTAACAGCTACCAGCCCAGGGAGGCAGAACATTCCTAGGGTCATAACTAGACTTGAAACAAAGAACGTGCGCCAAGAGGCTGCAACAAGAATTCTGCTTCCTAGTGCAGATGGAGACATGGAATCTCTGCACCAGAGAGGCCAGCATGGACACGTGTAAATGTTGTTTATCCATAGA